TTAGGGTTTAGGGTTTAGGGTTTAGGGTTTAGGGTTTAGGGTTTAGGGTTTAGGGTTTAGGGTTTAGGGTTTAGGGTTTAGGGTTTAGGGTTTAGGGTTTAGGGTTTAGGGATTAGGGTTTAGGTGACAGGAACAACGCACGCGGTCTGAAGCATTCCTGCCTTTGGCGAAGATGCAGAAACACTGGCATTTGCAGCATCTGGGGCTCTCTGTACAGTTTTGCCGCTGTGGACAACACAGGCACAAGAACGTTGTGCGCAGTGTTTTCGCCCAAAAGAAGCGTTCAAAAAGCAAGCGCTTTGATGCTGGCACTGAGTAAGGGTCGAAAACATCGCTGTGTAAAAAGTTGTGCGCGCGCGACACAAACCCTGTGGTGGCCGTGGTGATTTTGCACATGGTGACATAGTCAGGACCGTCCAGCGAATGCGTTTCGCAAAAAACCTCGAGTGTTTCACTCCAACTCCAAAATGACATGCGCAAAACACGTGGGCAACAACAAACGGCGTGGCTTTAAGGTTGAGGGTTGAGATGAACTGGGTACAACATGGCAGGAAAGATGTGCCCTTTTTTGCTTATGGTTTTGGGGTCTAGGGTTTAGGGTTAAGGGTTAAGGATTTGGGGCTTGGGGTTTGGGGTTTAGGGTTTTTAAGGGAACCTAAACACTGCAAAAAGGGAATAAGGGCTTCCTCTGGACTCTGGCTAACGCCTAAACCCCTGCATCCCAAAGCCAGAGTAAGGCGACTAGCTTGATTTTGGGTAGGGGCAGTGGACCCAGAAGGAAGCCCACCCCCAGCAGCTAAAGCCCGAAGAACCCTTTCATCTCCAAACGACCCAAAACGTCTCAAACCCCCGAACTCAAAGCCCTGCGCCCCTTGATCCCCTGCAAACGCAAAACCCGAAACCCGAAACCCGAAACCCTAAACCCTAAACCCTAAACCCTAAACCCTAAACCCTAAACCTTGTCGAGCCCGCAGGATCCAAGCCCCCTCGGCCTCCGGTGGAGTTCCGGCGTTGGCGATCTGTGTCACCGCCCCTGCGGATGCGCTCGATGAGCTGCACTAAGTGCGGAGGCCTCAGCTGCGGCTTAGGGTTTAGGGCTTAGGGCTTAGGGCTTAGGGTTTAGGGTTTAGGGTTTAGGGTTTAGGGTTTAGGGTTTAGGGTTTAGGGTTTAGGGTTTAGGGTGTAGGTTTTAGGGTTTAGGGTTTAGGGTTTAGGGTTTAGGGTTTAGGGTTTAGGGTTTAGGGTTTAGGGTTTAGGGTTTAGGGTTTAGGGTTTAGGGTTTAGGGTTTAGGGTTTAGGGTTTAGGGTTTAGGGTTTAGGGTTTAGGGTTAGGTTTAGGGTTTAGGGTTTAGGGTTTAGGGTTTAGGGTTTAGGGTTTAGGGTTTAGGGTTTAGGGTTTAGGGTTTAGGGTTTAGGGTTTAGGGTTTAGGGTTGCTCCCTCAACCCTAATGCAAGCCTGAAGTCGAAGCCCCTGGTGACGTTGCTCTGAATCGGGGCCCTTGTGGGGATCCCATGCGGGCTCAGGGTCTGCCTAAACCCTAAACCCTAAACCCTAAACCCTAAACCCTAAACCCTAAACCCTAAACCCTAAACCCTAAACCCTAAACCCTAAACCCTAAACCCGTTTTCGGTTCCTAAACCCTGGACCCGGGATCCCAAGCAGACCAGGAAGTGAGCAAGGAAGTGAGCAAGGAAGTGAGCACTCGCAGGCAAGACAGTACCCAACGCAGAACCCCGCTTGTACTTCAGGGACTGACGGAAGGACCCTCACAAGGTTTCAAAGGGATGCTAGGGGTTGCATTGTACAGTGGGCGCGGGGGCTATATAAGGTGTGTATAGGTATGTATGTATGTATATATATATATATATATATATATATGCTACCCCCCCCCCCCCGGGTTATCCACGCTTCTTTGTGGTTATCCACGCTTTTTGTGGTTGCGAGCCAATTACATCGTTCACGGGCCGCGGTGACCCCTGAACTCCGCCCCGCCCCCCAAAAAAAACCAATCCTCTACATAACGCAAATGTATGCAATCCTTGAGATGCTGAGTCCTCTCCATCTGTCCAAACACTGGGCACAGCGACCTCCTCCCCCTTATCGGTTAAGGTTTAAGTCTTGTAAAAAGAGACGCCCCGAAACCCTATAGGGTTTAAGGCTTAAAGCCGATAGGGTTTAGGCTTAAACCTAAAACCTGAACCTTTACATCCATAGGGTTTCAACGTTAAGCAATCACACCTAAACCCTTAACCTTTACGTCCTATAGGGTTAATAGGTTTTAAGATTAACTTCTAGGTATTCAAACCTAAGCCCATGGAGTTTAACCCGTAAGGGTTTACGATTTAGGCATCTAAACCTGAACCCTTTAGGGTCAAGACCCGGAAAGCCTGTAGGGCTCTAACAGCCTCAAAAGTTTTAACCCCATAGGCGATGAAGGTATACATGCCCAGACCTTAGGTTTTTAAGCCTTTAAACCCCATACAGTCTAAAGGTGTAGGGATTTTCAAGGTTTATCTCTAAAGCCCTCACGGGGTTAGCCCTATAGGGTTTGAACCCTCTAGGCCTAGAGGGTTCAACAGTTTAGGGCTTACGGTTTAGACATTGCCTATAGGACTAGAGCCTGAAAAACCCTATATGGCTACAGGCGTAAATCCCTAAATCTAAAATCCCATATGGTTATGCCTCTGTTTTTAGGGCTTGGTGGAAATGCAAAGAATAAGCAGGTATCGGGTTCAAAGGTTTAGGGGTCTTCAAGGTTTATCAGCCCATAGAGTTTAAACCATAAGAGCTTACGGTTTAGGCGTTTACATCTAAATCCTAAGCCCTTTCGGGTCAGAACCCTGAAAGCCTATGGGGCTCTAAAAGCCTCAAAAGTTTTAACCCCATAGGCGATGAAGGTATACATGCCCAGACCTTAGGTTTTTAAGCCTTTAAACCCCATACAGTCTAAAGGTGTAGGGATTTTCAAGGTTTATCTCTAAAGCCCTCACGGGGTTAGCCCTATAGGGTTTGAACCCTCTAGGCCTAGAGGGTTCAACAGTTTAGGGCTTAAGGTTTCGGCATTGCCTATAGGATTAGAGCCTGAAAAACCCTATGTGGCTACAGGCGTAAATCCCTAAACCTAAAATCCCATATGGTTATGCCTCTGTTTTTAGGGCTTGGTGGAAATGCAAAGAATAAGCAGGTATCGGGTTCAAAGGTTTAGGGGTCTTCAAGGTTTATAAGCCCATAGAGTTTAAACCATAAGGGCGTACGGTTCAGGCATTTAAATCTAAATCCTAAGCCCTTTAGGGTCAGAACACTGAAAGCCTCTGGGGCTCTAAAAGCCTCAAAAGTTTTAACCATATAGGCACTGAAGGTATACATGCCCAGACCGTAGGTCTTTAAACCTTTAAACCCCATAAAGTTTAACGGTTCAAGATTTTTCAAGGTTTATCTCTAGCGCCAGCACTATAGAGTTTAAACCCTATAGGCCTAGAGGGTTCAAAGGTTTACGGTGGAGGCATTACCTAAAGGATTAGAACCTTATAGCCCTGTGTACGACTCACCTTTACGTACTATTTGATGGTTGTGTTTCCCCTTTCAAAGCTTTAAGGATTTTAAAGATTTAAAAGGAGCCTTCAATTCTTTAAAACCCTCAAACTCCTTAAGATTTTGAAAGGCCTCTGGCTTTCAAAATTGTAAGGATATTAAGGATTGTAAAAGGCCACTTAAATGCTTTAAAATCCGTAAAATCTTGACAAATGTTAAATTATTTTGGGAAGGGCCCGGCCCATTAGAATTTTTTAAAATCCTTAAATTCCTTAAATCCTTGAAATTTTAAGACAAAAAAGCTATTTTGGGAAAAGGCCCGGCCCATTTAAATTTTCTAAAGCCCTTGAAATCCTGAAACTTGTCGAGACACACGGGCCGGTACAAGCCGGTACACAACGGTACAAGTTGTACCGGCCCCGCCCCTGGAACCAAGAACCAAGAACCAAGATTGCAGGGAGGTCTTGCCCTGCAATCTTGGTTCTTGGTTCTTGGTTTTCTGGGGCCGGTACAACTTGTACCGATTTGTACCGGTTTGTACCGGCCCGTATGTTTCGACGACATAAAGACCGGTACAAACCGGTACAAATCGGTACAAGTTGTACCGCCCTAATGGAACCAAAAACCAAAAACCAAGATTGCAGGGCAAGACCTCCCCGCAATCTTGGTTCTTGGTTCTTGGTTCCAAAGGGCCGGGGCCGGTACAACTTGTACCGATTTGTACCGGTTTGTACCGGTCTCTACTGTTGCAATATAAACATATAGATAAGCAACCAGATATAAGGAAAGAAAGAAAATCTAAATCAACACGCTGGGACAATGACAACAAATCACGAACGAAAAACAGAAATACGCAGTGCCCGAACAAGAAAAACACAAAAGAAGCAGAAAAGGCGTGGATAACTGGGGGGGGGACCATATATATATATATATACATATATATATGTGCGTTAGACATACATAAGAGACATACATAAGAGACATATGGCGTAGTAGGCTAAAGTGTCTTCCAGGCATTAACCCCCTTAGTTAGACCCCCAGGCTCGACGCCCTGAACCCTGTCCCCAGGCCCTTGGGTAGAGGTCGAAGGCTGGGGTCGATAACAAGATCTCCACATCGGGACAGCTTCACCCTAAAGCCTAAACCCTTAAACACTAAACCTAAAACCTTAAACCCTACACCCTAAACCCAAAATCGTGGGAAAAAATCCAGTCAAATCCCAAGGGCACAAGCGGGAGTAGGGTTGAGGGGCCTCGGGCTTCAAAAATGAGGAATCCGCTGCTCTCATGAGTCTCATGACATTGAACCGAATAAGCCGATACACGCAAGCCCTTTAGGGAGTTAGGGCTCAGGGTTTGGGGGTTCTGGGCTATGTGCCTATCACTCTAACCCTTCGGACCAAGCTAGAGGGCCTAGCCCTACACCCCACCAGCATTTTGCGCCCACAGAAACGCTCTCACTGGGTCGCCTATGTCTGGGCTCCAAGGAGAGACCTGAGGACAGCCCCGAGGCGCTGGAATAACACGGCATGGATCAGAGTACCGGCAATGGCCACTCCCGAATGTCCCGGCGTGAGCAGGGGAAGACTATATGCAAACGTGAAAATGAGCCCAATGCTTATGAGTGGGATCAGAGATATACATACAGTCAGTGTGTTCTTCATGCCCTCCAAGCACCGATTGCTTGGCCTTGCCCGTGCAAGCTTGCAAACAAGCAGGGCCCAATCCTTCAACGTTGGCATGCCCACGAGCCAAACCACCAAACCATCAGCGAATACAGCCGGGGAGCTGTGACTCCAGAAGGGTCCTTCAACCCGTGAGAAGGTAGCGGAATAGTCCATGAAGCCCCACATTATTGGCACAAATATTGCGATTGTTGACCGTGTGGTCAAAACTTGCTCAAGGTCCTGTTCCAAAATCGCCAGAACTTCTGAGCGCAGCGTGCGCTCAAACGATTCCGAGCTGCCGAACCAGATGCCCAGACAAACCTTTAAAATTTTCCGGTCACACGTGCTAGGGGCACCGGATGGTGTGACGTGGTTGTTGGTGCAGCAGTCACAAAGAGCTGTATCGAAGGAGACAGATAGCAGTTGTTGCCTCATAGTGTCCAAATCTCGAAAATAGCTTCTCAAAGTGCTGACAAGCGCGTAGGCGACTACAAGGAGAACGACCAGGGTGCCAAAAGCTGTGTTGAGGAAATAATTGAAATAATCCTGCGGACTCGAAACGGAGGCCCCCACCGCAGGCGACATTATCCAAGCAAGCACGCCAGCGGTGGCAGTCAGGAAGATTCCACTGCGAACTGGCCCCAGAAGGGTTGGCGCGATGATCAGCTTTCGCTTCTCACCCTCATGCTCATGCTCGCTGCTTTTCAAGAAGGCCGCCAATTCCTGGCTCGCGGACCCTAGGAAGCCCTGTGAAACATACTGAGAGATAGGATCCTCTTGAACCCTAAACCCTAAACCCTAAACCCTAAACCCTCAACCGTGTGAAAAACAATCCCAAGGGCCTAGGGTCGAACAAGCACCACAACCTCGTGGTCCACGTTGGATCCCAGAGGACGAGCATCGACTCCGACCTTCGTAGAAGTCCGGCCAGACTGACCTAGGAGGGCCCTTGGGTTTAGGGTTTAGGGTTTAGGGTTTAGGGTTTAGGGTTTAGGGTTTAGGGTTTAGGGTTTGGGGTTTGGGGTTTAGGGTTTAGGGTTTAGGGTTTAGGGTTTAGGGTTTAGGGTTTGTATAACCCTCCTTTAAACCCAACAAGGGCAAGGATGGGCCCTCAAACGCCTCTGATGTTCCAAATGATCCTCTTCAACCCAAAAAGGGGGGAAAAATACAAATGTTCCAAGGGCCTGCCTGGTAACTATACCTTTCAGCTTCAGTTCTGCATTGCTCTGACTGATGCAGATGCGGTCCAGGAAGACATGAGTCTGAGGCCGCCAAAAGATCGCTACCAAAGAAGTGGCCCAGAAACCAGACCACGTGGACCACACCGACCAGTGTTCTTTGTGGTAGTGTCCATCATGCCGGTCGTAACCAGGGAGATCCACCAAACAGAACAAAACCATCATCACAACTGCAACGAAGATGCCCAACATGATGGCCGCTTGGCCGTTGTAGATGGTGACGAGCGTCAAAATCTTCTTCCAGCGCGCCCCATGCCATGAATGGCTCCAGAAGGCTGCTATCTTGTGGCTCCGCCGACTCTTTGAGTAAAGGTCGATACCTTTTGCGCCTCGCAAAGCCTGAGTAGAACACTAACCATCCTATGAAAAGGCTACCCTTCTTGGGTTTGTTGCTTCATACGGGGAGCCTCGAAACCCAAAAAAAAGGTTGCAAAAAAGGGCACCACTGGGGCGACCAAGAGGCTTGAAAGCAGTGCTGGAAGGGCTCGAACGGCGGGCGTCACCCTCAGAATCTCTGGGCTGGCGAGTTCCATTTCCGCCACAAACTCGGCCACCTGCGCAGCCTGCGCGTGCATGTCTTCGGCCGTGTCTGCCTCATCGTCGTCCTCCTGAAGAGAGACGCCGATTTCGTCAGGAACTGGCCTCTGGAGCTCTTCTGGCTTGTCCCATGCACTCATGGCTGAAAGCCGCGGGACGAGCCTTCCATGTGAAAAGGGAACAGGAAACGAGCCAAGAGGAAGGCACTCGGTTGCACTGCATATGCGGTAGGGTGTATATTTCTTGTACCCCTGGAGTCTCCGGAGAGCTGTCCGAGCAAGAAGCGAAAAACTAAAGCACACCACGAAGCCGCTCCAAGTCCTTCACGAGCATCAAGAGGACCGAGCGCACTTCATTAACACGTGAAACGAGAGCATGCGGAACACATTGTCTCCGATGAAAGTTGATGAGAAACTTTGAAAAGTTTGGACATCTCAAGTGGCACGCTATACAGAAACCGTCCCGAGCAGTGACATCAAAAGGGAGAACAAAGTGCTTGCCCTTTTGCCAATAATCAATGAGACATTTCCACCTAGAAAGAACAGCTTTCCACCATTTGGAAAAAGCAGAAGGGGAGCGACAATTATCCTTGCATAATTGAACGACACAGTCATAAGTGAGATTCGTAACCGAATTCACAAGAGACTCAACAATGGCCTCCAGCTTAGGCAGGCCAGAGTCATCCAAAGTGACAGAAACATCAGCAAACTGCAGCCTGTGAAAAGACAGCTCAGCCAACGACAAAAGACGAAGGCAACGAAGACGAATGGCAGCGAGGATCGCAGAGTCAGATGGGCCAGGACAGGCAGCAGTAGAACTTTTGGCCCGAAAAAGAGGGGGGATTCAGAATTTGCTGGTCCCGCAACAAAAAATGCCGTTTTTTAGTACCGAAATCGAAGGTTTCGGGACCCCTCAATTAGCTTTAAAAAGCCTTCCGAAAACGTGGAAAGCGAAACGGACCCACGCCCAAAATTTCGAATTTCAGCGTCCGTTGGGGGCCCCGGGACAATGTCCTGGGGCGTCCCGGGGTGTCCCGGGAGGGCCCCGGGACAACTGCTCCCCGGGACAACTGTTGCAGGACCGTCCCGGCGTGGGTCCCGGCACGCCCCGGGACGCCCCGGGACACCCAGGACAACCAGTCGCGGGGGGGTTTCGGGACAACCCGTCCCGGGGGGGGCCCCGGGACACCCCATACTAGACTAGGATTTAGGATTTAGGATTTAGGATTTAGGATTTAGGATTTAGGATTTAGGATTTAGGATTTAGGATTTAGGATTTAGGATTTAGGATTTAGGATTTAGGAAATAGGAATGAGGATGTAGGATTTAGGATTTAGGATTTAGGATTTAGGATTTAGGATTTAGGATTTAGGATTTAGGATTTAGGATTTAGGATTTAGGACTTAGGAGTTCGCATTTAGGATTTAGGATTTAGGATTTAGGATTTAAGATTTAGGATTTAGATTCAGGATTTAGGAAATAGGAATGAGGATGTAGGATTTAGGATTTAGGATTTAGGATTTCGGATTTCGGATTTAGGATTTCGGATTTCGGATTTCGGATTTAGGAACCACGAAACCACAAAAAAGCAAGACGACCCCATTAAGGTTTAAATATATAGGTAGAGAGGGTTTAGGGTTTAGGGTTTAGGGTTTAGGGTTCAGGGTCTAGGCTTTACGGTTTAGGGATTAGGGTTTAGGGTTTAGGGTTAGGCGCAGAAAATTTCAGCTGCGCAGTGTCGATGGTTCCCCTCTGCTTGTAGGCGAGCCACATCCCCGCCTTGAGGCCGATGGAACTTGGCCTCTGTGGTTCTGGAGTTGGGTTTAGGGTTTAGGGTTTAGGGTTTGGGGTTTGGGGTTTGGGCTTTGGGCTTTGGGCTTTGGGGTTTGGGGTTTGGGGTTTGGGGTTTGGGGTTTGGGGTTTAAGGTTTAGGGTTTAGGGTTTAGGGTTTAGGGTTTAGGGAGACTCTACAGCCCAAAGCAGTTTCATGGATCAAAGCTTGGCACTAGCCTCAACCGCATGCTTGGGGGTCGGAAACTACTTGCGGCTCCTGCACACCCTAACATCCTCAAAAGCCCGAAAAATCCTAGAACAACCCTGGCAACTTGGGTTGTTCCCCATTATACTACCAGTCCTCAAAAACACCCGATTAAGGCCTGTTGGTATAAGGGGGGACATCCCAAGTGACAACCCTAAATACGAACAACAACCCCAAAAAAATTATGCAAAAGGACTTTAAGAAACCCTAAGCCCTAAACCCTAAACCCTAGACCCTAAACCCTAAACCCTAAACCTGAAACCCCAAACCCCTAAACCCTGAACCCCGAAACCCTTGAAAAGGTGGGGATGGCACAGCTCAAGGAAGAGGCCCTGTAGAGTCGGAAGCCCGTCTACTTTGAAAAGGCTTAAGGGTTTAGGGTTTAGGGTTTCGGGTTCGGGTTTAGGGTTTAGGGTTTAGGGTTTAGGGTTTAGGGTCTAGGGTCTAGAGGGCTTAGGAGGGTTTGCAGGGTTTGGACGGATTTCGGAGGGCTTCGGAGGATATTTAGGGGGCTTAGGGGCTCGGGGGCTGTGCCAGAGAGGCCTTCATGATTAGAATAGGAATCTGGGGGTTACCATAGTAGAATTCTACAGGGACCATAAGGGAATACCATTAGTAATTCTCCCGACCCCTGTAGTAGAAGGTTTCGGGGGGTGTGGATACTCGAGTGAAAGCCTGAGGATCGGGCAGTTGCGTATCCTTCCCCATGGAGAACTTCACATCACCTCAGAGAGTCTGAGTGTTTGGGGCTCAGGGTTTCCCCAAACCCTAAACCCTAAACCCTAAACCTTAAACCCTAAGCCTTAAACCCTAAACCCTAAACCTTAAACCCTAACCCGAAACCCGAAACCCTAAACCCTAAACCCTAAACCCTAAACCCTGACATCTGGAGCCCCTGGAGGCCAAGAACCTGTGCTACAAGGCCCCTGCGGACCCCGAGAGATGTCTCACCGCCCCAGGCGCGAAGCCGTGAACCTCCAAACCCTAAACCCTAAACCCTAAACCCTACACCCCTTTAACCCTAAAACCCTACACCCTACAACCTTCAAAGCCCCCCAAACCACCTTGACCAGCAAAAAACCAGAAAGCTCCAAGCAGCCGCCCAGTGAGTCCACGCCCGCCGCGGCGTTCGACCTGACCAGCCTCTGGATGGCCTCTCAGGGCATATACATACATTATATATGTATAGATATATATATATATATATATGTATATACATATATATATATATATATATATATATCTGTTCCTATAAACCCTAAACTCTAAAACCAAAACCCTGAACCCTGCGGCCTGCGGTGGGGGGGGGGGGGTGGAGTGGCTTTTGGAGGGGGAGGAGAGGATCTTTGCTTGCAGTTCTTGGTTTTTGCAGGGGACTCTGGGGGGAGAGTTAAGGCGTCGGCTGGGCTTGCGGCTGACGAGCTCCACGATGTTCAGGTTTTGCGGGGGCTTTGGGTCGAGCCCTAAACCATAAACCCTAAACCCTAAACCCTAAACCCTAAACCCTAAAACCCCCTAAGGGAAATGTGGCCAAGCCCTCGGTCTGGGGTCTGGGGCTCGGGGTTTAGGAGTTTAGGGCTTCGGGTTGCTTAGGGGAATCGGCCTGATATTTTCTCAATGCCCTAGCCCCTTCATCTTCAACAACCCTAAACCCTAAACCCTAAACCCTAAACCCTAAAACCCTAAACCCTAAACCCAAAACCCCGCCCCCCCCCCCCCCCTCGCCCCTCCCGGAAAAAATTGAAAAAGAGAGAGATGCTTCTCACTATGCCTGTGAAGTTGGGGTGTGTCATCATGAAGGGGATCAAACACCCTGAGCCCCAAACCCAAGAACCCTAGAGCTCAAGGTAGCAGAGCACACACCTAAACCCTAAACCCTACACTCGGGATGTTCCCCCTTACACTAACAGTCCTTCATAGGGATGAAAATCGGGGGTCCTGAACCCTCATCCCTAAACCCTAAACCCTAAACCCTAAACCCTAAACCCCAGTCCTTAGTAGAAGGGGGAGCGTCCCAACCCTAAAGCCCGAAGCCCCAACGTTCGACCCGAGACAGGGGCCGAGACGGCCTGGTCGAAGTGCAGCTTCAAGCGCTGCTCCTGGATATCCCGAAGCCCCTAAACCCTAAACCCTAAACCCCCCCCTAAACCCTAAACCCCAAACCCTAAACCCTAAACCCCCCAAAATGGCCCCTGAAACCCTAAAGCCCTAAAGCCCCAAATCCCAAACCTAAAACCCTAAACCCCTAAAATAAGGCCCTAAAACCCTAAAGCCCGAAAACCCGAAAAACCCTAAACCCTAAAACCCTAAAACCCTAAAACCCTAAAACCCTAAAACCCTAAAACCCTAAATCAGGCCCTAAAACCCTAAAACCCTAAAACCCAAAAGCCCTAAAACCCTAAAACCCTAAAGCCCACCGCATCACCCTTGCTTCTCAAGGTGCCCGCCACCGTCGGCCATCATCGGGTTGCGGGTTTAGGGTTTGGGAACCAAGGTTCTGCAGTTTAGGGTTTACGGTTTAGGGTTTAGAGCTTGGGGTTTAGGGTTTAGGGTTTAGGGACTCCTGAACCCAAGGCAGAGATTTGACTCCGCTACCACCGGGTGTTGAGTGTTCAGGGTTTAGGGTTTAGGGCTTAGGGTTCGGGGTTTAGGGTTTAGGCTTTAGGGTGTAGGGTTAGGGTTTAGGGTTTGAGAATCCAAGAAACCGCCGTGTTTGGAGGAGCACATTTTGGGCCACGTCTCACATCGCCTTGTGGTGGCCCTCTCAACCCCACAAAAACTCTAAACTTTTGAAGCCCCCAAACTCCTAGACCCCAAAACCTCAAGTCCTCACTCTTAAATCACTAAATCGTCTAACCCTAAACCCTAAACCCCAAACCCTAAACCCCAAACCCTAAACCGGGCTCCTGCTGATGCAGCAGAACCTCGAGCTGGCCGCCAACCGGATCCGGTACGGCCGTCGAATCGCCATGCTGCTTGGGCCTTTCTGAGGGCGGCCACGTAAGGCTCGGGCGTTCTCAAAGTTTAGGGTTTAGGGTCTAGGGTCTAGGGTCTAGGGTCTAGGGTTTAGGGTTTAGGGTTTAGGGTTTAAGGTTTAGGGTTT